AATCTTTTCTTCTCTCTAGGACTAGCCCCTTTCGTATGCATATGGCCTTGGGCAGGCAGGATTCCCATAGGCCTAGGTCCCCATCAGCCCTGTTTAACCAGCATGTCATTGACTCAGGGCAATGCCAGAAGCTGCCACTCTCTCCTCCTCTGAAATATTTTATCTCATGCCTTCTCGTTTTTTCTCTTACAAAGCCTCATAATTTTAGAGGTCTGGAGCCATTGCAGTGAATCCTGCTCACAGCACCAACTACTTAAACCAATTGGGAACCATGTTAGACTTTGTCTGACTCCACAAGAGGGACTAAAAGACCAAACTCAAAGTCACTGCAGTGAATGACTTCATTTGTCTTTTCAACCCATAGTCATTATAACTCCCACCAAACAACTTTTTCCTGGGTAAGAAAGGGTGAGAGATAATATAGTATAATATGATTCATTTGTAAATGATCGTTACCAATGTTCATTGTGATTTAAAAAACTTGGTCTTCTAACTTGGCAATGAAATGAACCATCTCAGAAGCTAAAGGAGGAAATCTCACTAGCTTCAAGAAGAAAGAACCAGGAGTGAACCACATCCTTTGGATTCTGAGATCCTGGTGCATTGAACCTCCTTGACCCAGGGACAGAAAGCTGTGACGCTGGAAGAGTGGTAGAGGAGCAGCAGCAGCAGAACCAAGAGCCAGAGCAGGGGCTTCCCAGTCCATGGTGCAAGTAACGCTGAGTGACTTTGGGCAGAAAGCTTGCTTGCAGCTTGGGCTGCCTGCAGGCACTTAATTGGAGGAGCTATATTTACTGATGAATTTGTGGACTGTGAACCACAGTTCTGCAGTTGGAGCCCACTAGCCACTCCACAGGAGACAGAAGAGGCTTTTTGCTCCTGCAAAGATTTTCAGACTTGGAACCCTTATACAGGGTTTTATGAGTCAGAACCAACTTGACAGCACTTAACAACAATAACAACAACAACTTCCCTTATAAACCCCGAACTATGAATATGGTGTCTTGAGTTCTGTGTGGCCATTATAATAAATTATTGAACCCAGGTGAGAAGTAGATGGTTGGTGCTCATTTATTGTACCGGTGGTGATAAAGGGCATCTTTGTCTGATTCCTGTTCACAAGGGGATAGCTTTCTATCTCTGTTGAAAGTTTTGTATTTATTGTGGTGGTTGCTGAGTGCCATCCATTTGTTCTGACTCATGGAGACCCTCTATAGGGTTTCCAAGTCTGTAAATCTTTGGAGGAGCAGAAAACCTCATCTTTCTCCAGTGGAGCAGCTGGTGGGCTTGAACTATCAACCTTGTGATTTGCAGTCCATTTCTTACCTTACAGAGCCACCATAACCCAATGGTTTTGTATATATTTCCTTAATTATGCTGAGGAATTTCCCTTCCTTTCCTATTTTGTTGAGCATTTTTATGAGCAATAGGTGTTAGATTTGTCTAATGCCTTTTCTGCATTATGTGTTTTTTTCTTTGTGATGTGGATTAGGTTGATTTTTTTCGTGCTGTTTAGACATCCTTGCATGTTGTTGTTGTTAAGTGCCTTTGAGTTGGTTCCGACCCATAGCGACCCTATACAGGGTTTCCAGGGAGCCACTGGTGAGCTTGAACCACCAACCTTGTAGTTCAAAGGGCTTTAGGACTCCATCCTTGTATATTTGGTAAGAATTAACAAACAAAACCAAAAATGTTTTCACACTGAAAGAGGCATTTTTTGATGGTTACCAGGGGTAGATAGGGTGGATAGGAGGATGGGCCACTGACTGGATAATCCCACATGTTCATTATGTATTATTTTTGAAGATATGTTGTTGGATTATTGGCTAGGATTTTGTTGGGAATTTTTGTATCTATTTTACATGAGAGATATTGGTTTATACTTTCGTTGCCTGACTTTGGTATTAGGGTTATGCTCACCTTATAAAATGAACTAGAGTATGTTCCCGCCTTTTGTATATTCTGGCATATTTTGGGGAGAATTGCTGTCAGTTCTTTTCAGAGTGTTCAGTAGGATTCTCCAGTGAAAACCATATGACCCAAGACATTTTGTTGCTGTTGAGAGATTCTTAATGTCCTACTTTTTTTTTTTTTTTCTTTTGTTTTGAGTCTGTTCTGCTGTGTTAGTGTATGTAGGTATTGTGTTTCTAGACATTTGTCCATTTCTTCCAGGTTTTTAAATTTGTTGGAATGAAGTTCTTCATAGTAGCCTGTTATCCTTTTTATTTCTGTTGATTCTTTTGTGATGTAACACATTTAATTTCTTATTCATATGATTTGCATCTTTTTCTTTTCTTTTGTTAGATTTGCCATTGGTTTGTGGATTTTATTAATCATTTCAAAAAACTAACTTCTAGTCCTGTTGATTATTTCTGTATTTTTTTTTTCATTTATTTCTGCTCTAATCTTTTTTCATCTTCTTCTCTTCCTCTGGTGGTGGTTGTTGTTAAGTGCCCTTGAGTCAGTTCCGACTCACAGAGACCCTGTATAAGGTTACTGAGTAGCAGCTGGTGAGTTTGAACCACTGACCTTGTGATAAAAACTGACCTTTTGGTCTAGTGCATTACCCTGCAGCACCACACCAGGACTCCATTCCTCTGGTTAATGCAGTCTTATTTTGCTGCTCTTTTTCTGATTTTTGTAGATGGCTGGGTTAAGACGTTGCTTTTGGTTATTTTTCTGATGATGAGCATTTATTGCTGTAAATTGACTTCTGAGCTCTGCTTTTGGTGTAATTTTGATTTTTTCCGTTGATTTATAATTTTATCGTGTGTGATCTGAGAAGATATAATACTTTCATGGTTTAAAATGTATTGAGACTTGCATTGTGGTCTAACACATGGTCTATTCTGGAGAATGTTCATGTACACTGGAAAAGAATGTCTATTGTGCTGTTGTTGATTGAAGTGTTCTGTATATGTCTGTAAGATCAGATTGGTTGTGTTGTTGAGACTTTGTGTAGCTTTGTTGAGTTTCTTTCTAGTTGTTCTGTCCTTCATCAAAAAGGATGTAATAAGATTTCTTGATATTACTTTGGAGTTGTCTATTTCTCTTTTCTGTTCTGGTAAAGTTTGATTTGTGTTGGGTTTTTGTTTGTTTGTTTTTTGCACTAGGTGAAGAGATAATATGGATATTTCCTCTTGTTCAAGTTACCCTTTAATCACTATCCTTACTTATTGCTTCTGCTGGTTTTTGCCTTAAAGACTATTTTTTTCAGAAATTAATATTGCCACTCTTTGTTTGATTGCCATTTGCATGATAAATTTTTTTCCGTTCTTTGATGTTTACTCTTAAAAAACTCAGACTTCACTTTTGTTTTGATATACCAGGCTGGCAAGGTGGCTGTGCTATTCTGCTCCCTACTTTGGCAGCAGTCCTAGTGGGTGTGCTAGAGAATGGGGGGTGTCTAGCTCTCTGTTCATTGATCACTTAGAGCAATTGAGGACAGGTTGGGCTGGTGGTGTTGGTCGCTGTCTGTCATTGATCAGGTGGTGCAGAAGTAGGTGATGGTCCTCATGCAATGGCTAGGACTGTAAGAGGTGTGGCTGGGCAGTGTGGGGCACAGTTGCTTGCTAGTCATCAGCTTCCTGTATAGGCACTGGTGCAGTTCTGGGCAAGCAGAGCCAATTGTGCTGTGGGTTAATGCACTGGACTGCAAAGTCAGCTTGAACCGCATGGTCAGTGGGTCAAGCTCACCAGCAGCTCCTCGGAAACCCTATACAGAGTTGCTATGGGTCAGAACTGACTCGACGGCACATAACAACAACAACTAGGATTGGAATGCTGTTTGCAAAAAATCCAAAATGACCATATTATGTCAGGCCAGTTGACACCACTCAATTTGTCTCTTTGTTCACTGTTTTCATTCAGTTTCTTCTTCTAGTTAATATTTGTCTTAACTTCTTTATCCTCTTCTCTGAAACTCAGGGTCCCAGGATTACATCTGTTTCGTTTGGTTTCTCTGGTCTTTTTTTTGTAGAGGGTTTCGGTAGCTTGTCTACTTAGTCCTCCATCATGCTGGAAGTCCCTCAAACTGATTTTTAAGTGATTTTTTGCCTTCCTGATATTCTTCTGAGAGTTTAAAACATTTAGAAATGTAGGTAAGAGATGTAAAGTTGGGGTTCCTCACTTCGGCCCAGAACTGTGTAATCTAAGCCAGTGGCTCCCAGACTGGGATTTCCAGACCTATCTGCCTTTCTCTTATAAAGACACCTGTGTACGGCACTGTAGGATAAGCACTCGACCATAAGGTTTGTTTAACTGCAAGGTTGGTGGTTCAAACTCACCAGCTGCTCCTAGGAAACCCTATACAGGGTTGCTATGAGTCGAACTGACTCAGTGGCACTTAACAACAACATTGTTGCTAAGTCCTGGTGTGGCGCTGTAGGATAAGCACTGGAATGCTAACTGCAAGGTTAGTGGTTCTAATCCACCAGCAGCTCCTTGGCAAACCCTATACAAGGTTGGTATGAGTAGGAGCTGATTCGATGGCAGTTAACAACAACAATGATAATTGTTGGATTTAGGACCCACCTGGATAATCTAGGATGATCACATTTCAAGATCCTAACTTAATTACATCTGCACAACCTTTTTCTCAAATAAGTTTGGGGAGTTAGGCCTTGGACATACCTACGTTTAGTTTAGCTGTTCTCTCACTATGGCTGCTATTGCATTAGTGTGCAAATTATATATGATCTGCTGCTTATTCTAAGAAGTGCTTGACCCTTTGGCATGAAGTACAGAGATTTGCTGTATGGGATTGTTTGTGGTAGCAGCATCACCTAATCCCAGTTTGTGTGAGTGATCCAATAGACTATCGATTAGCTGGCCATTTAGGATTGCAATTGTCCTAACAAAGCACATGTGAAGTCCAAGGGCTTTTTTTGCTTTCAAAAAGTGTATTATTGTCATATGTGATTTATTTCTCTGTATTTAAAAGCATTTGATTAAAAACATTTGTGTTATTTTCTTTTCCTTTGTCTCTTTTTCTTCCTTAGAATAATATAGCGGATCCAGAAGAACTGTTCACAAAATTAGAACGCATTGGGAAAGGCTCCTTTGGAGAAGTTTTTAAAGGAATTGATAACCGTACCCAGCAAGTGGTTGCTATTAAAATCATAGACCTCGAGGAAGCCGAAGATGAAATTGAAGACATTCAGCAAGAAATAACTGTTTTGAGTCAGTGTGACAGCTCATATGTAACAAAATACTATGGATCATATTTAAAGGTAATATGTGTGCTGTATTATTTCAGTCATAAGGTATTTTCATTATAACTTGTTCTTGCTTTTTTGAGTACATTTTTTTGGGAAAGGTAATGTCTTAAATTAAGATTTGGCAGTCTCTGGCCCCTCAGTAGACTCCAGCTCCATTTATAGTGCCAGATAGACTGTTGTCATATTCAGCAGCTGTATCCTGAATGCATCTCAGTATTCAGCTGCACCCTTTCTCTGCACCTCAACTTTCGCTTGGATGGAGTAGAAATGCAGCTGGTCCTCACGACATATCCTTTGTCAGGAAAGAGCTATACCATTGGGCTTTCACACATTATTTTCAATGGTTCCATCTGTCTCAGCCTCCGCTTTGATGGAATATGTAAATATTTCACTTATTTCATTTGAGTTTTGGGTGGTTATTGACGTCTCTCTCCCACCTGGTAGTATAGGTCCTTTGATAGCCGTGACTTTTGCATCACCATTCTTTATTTTCATATTACTTAGTGCAAGATCTGGCACATCTTTAGCACATTATACATATTTGCTGAGATTAAATTCAGTGGAATAATATATCCCCCCACCCCCAACCAAAAAAATAAGAAGATGCATTTTTACTGATTCCAGGATCACAGATTTAGCAGACACCTAAAGTTCCACCAGATGGAGATGTTACTGCATAACAGAAAACTCTTTGATTAGTGAAACCCAAGAGTTCTTTGGTTCTAGAGTTAGAAGTTAAGATTTGTGCTTATTGAAATGTGAATTTTGCTTAGGCGAGAGTTTGAATTTGTCTTAATATTGAAATAGTTTATCTCTGTGTTGATTTTTTTTTTTTTTAACATGAAAAGATTAGTTAGATTTTTGCCTTTCAAGATTGGTAAGAGAAAAAAGTTTTTTTTGTATTTTATTTTTTTCTTGTTCTTTTTTTGGCCATCCCTTTTCTTGGCTATGTATGTATAACTCACTAAGCTGTTGACTTGCGTTAAAATTAATGCTATCTTTTTAAAACTGTGCTGACCAAATAAGCTCTAGGGTCGTTATCGATTTACATTACATTAGTTAATCCTGGTACAGAAATTCATCTTCAGCGTCACTGTCTTTTTTAAAAAAAACAAAGCCTGATTTACACTACATTATTTACACTACATTATTATTTACATTTGGAGTCCTGCCTGGTGTGGTGCTGTAGGATAAGCACTGGACTGCAAACCAAAATGTCAGTAGTTCAAACCCACCAGCCACTTCTCGGAAACCTTATACAGGATTGCCGTGAGTTGGAACCAGCTCCAGGGCACTTATAATAATTATTGGTATTACATTAGTCCATGAATTCAATTAATGTATTACTGAGTACATAGTAGAATGGATCATTAAATGTATCATACAGAGGATCCCTAGTGGCGTAGTGGGTTATGGGTTATGCATTGGACTGCTAACTGCGAGGTCAGTTGTTCAAATTCAACCAGTGCTTCATGGGAGAAAAATGAGGCTTTCTGCTCCCATAATGATTTATGGTCTAACAAACCCTACACAGGGTTGCTATGAATCAAAAGCAACTCAACAGCACATAGCAGCAGCCGCAGCAGCAGCATGTGTCATACAAGGAGCCCTGGTGGCATAGTGGTTAAACATTTGGATGCTAACTGAAATGTTGATGGTTTAAACCCACCAGCCACTCTCCAGGAGAACGATGTGGCAGTTGACTTCCACAAAAATGGCAGCCTTGGAACAGCTCTCTGGGGCAGCTCTACTCTTTCCTGTAGGTCACTATGAGTCCAAATCCACTCAATGCAGTGCGCGTGGGGAGGGGGGGGTAGGGGAGAAACAGGCTGTCATACACTGTAGTAGGTGCGGGAGATATGAAAATGAACAACTCACTCCTGCCATCAAGAAGCTGATTGTCCAGAACTACACTAAATGTATTTTATGAATAAGGTGTGTACAAGGTACAGATGGGGCACAAATAAGCAAGTAGTTACTTCTGTCTTTTTTTTCTTCTGGGATCAGGTGATGAAAAAAACTTCTAAAAGGTGATATCAGTATTTACATCTAAGTGTTAACTATCCCGGCATTTTACTATACATATAATTGGTTGTTTTTGTGTGTGTGACATAAATTGGCTTTCGTATTCTTTTCTTGAAAGGTACTTTAAGAGATGAGGAAAGACTTGAATGATTGAAGTAGAATCCTATGAGTGATCATTCAGTTTAAGTAATTCTAGGTCCCCCTCCTAATTTACTTAGCAGGCTTGGTTGTAGGCAGTCCCAGGAATTTATTGTAATAGATAAGCTATTTTGGATGACTGACTTAAAATATTAAACAAGGCACATTTAAAATGGGGTATCCCATATTATACTGAAAATGGGCACTGAAGTGGTGTTGACTGTATTGTATTGGTTGTTCATAGCCTTTGTTTATTCTCATTCAGTATTCTCATGAACAGTGAGTTCTAGCTCTGTTTAAATTTTTTATTCCTAAGAAAGAAAACAGGTGTGCTCTTTAAAAATGTCTTATCATAGTTTATACAGAAGTATGCCTGGGCTTTGGCTGTTGTCGTTAAGTGTCATCGAGTCGCTTTTGAATCATAGTGACCAGAGGGTTTCCAAGTTTGAACTTGGTGAGTTTGAACTGCTGACCATGTGTTCAAACTGACCTTGTGGTCCAGTGCTTATCCTATGGTGCCACACCAACACTCACCCAGTAAATATTCAGTCTTTAGTAAATACAAAGGAGCTCTGGTAGCATAGTGGTTACGAATCGGGCTGAGAACCTTAAGGCCAGCAGTTCGAAACTACCAGCCATTCCGCGGGAGAAAGATGAGGCTTTCTGCTCTGGTAAAGATTTATAGCCTCGGAAACCCTGTACAGGGTCGTTATGAGTCAGAACCTACTCGAAGGCACTTAACAACAACAACAACAGTAAATACAAACTTAGATGTTTATTTTGTCCACATCATGATTGTAGGATGTTCTCAGACTAATCAGTGATACAAAACCATTATTCAAGATGTCTTTTAAAAGACAACACTAAATTATTCTTGTTTCCTTTGTTATGTTGTTGTTAGGTACCATTGAGTCCATTCCAACTCATAGTAACTCCATGCACAACAGAACAGAACACTGCCTGGTCCTGTGCCAACCTCACACTTGTTAAAGCTAAGCCCATTTTTGAAGTTACTGGGTTAACACGTCTCCTTGAGCGTCATCCTCTTTTTCTCTGACCCTCTTCTTTACCAAGCATGATGTTCTTCTCCAAGGATTGGTTCCTTCTGATAACATGTCCGAAGTTTGTGAGACAAAGCCTCACCATCATTATTTCCAAGGATCTTTCTGGTTGTGCTCCTAAGACAGATTTGTTACTTTATCATCATTAATTCATGTCTTTGATGTTAAAGACTACTTTTTAAGACTGCTTTTGAGAATATTTTGCTTCATTATAAAATTGTAGAATTTCATAGATATTGATGATTTGTAGCCTGGATCGCTTTACATTAAAATAAATAAGTGTGTGCATATGTATATGTGTGGGAGAAAATACCAGAAAGATGTCCACTTGTGCTTTATTGACTGTGCAAAGACTTTGGACTTCGTGGATGATGACAAGCCATAGATAATATTGCAAAGAATGAGTATTCCAGAACACTTCATTGTGCTCATGAGAAACCTGTACATAGAAGAAGGGACTAATGAATGTTTTAAAATCAGGAAAGGTGTGCACCAGTGTTGTATTATTTCAACATACTTTATTCAATCTGTATGCTGAGCAAATAATCCAGATTATATGAAGAAGCACATGGCATCAGAACTGGAGGAAGATGCGTTAACAACTTGCGATTTGCAGATGATAAAACCTTGCATGCTAAAAGCAAAGGAGATTTGAAATACCTGCTAATGAAGATCAAAGACTGCAGCCTTCAGTATGGATTTTACCTCAACCTAAAGAAAACAAAAATCCTCACAACTGGGACCAATAAATAACATCATGATAAGTGGAGAAAAGAATGAAGTTGTCAAAAATTTAATTTTGCTTGGATCCACCATCAACACTCACAGAAGCAACAGCCAAGAAATCAAATGACGTATTGCATTAGGCAAAGCTGCTGCAAACGATCTCTTTAAAAGTGTTCAAGAGCAAAGGTATCAGTTTGAGGACTAAGGTGCATCTGATCCAAGCCGTACTGGTTTTTTCAATAGCCTCATCTGCCTATGAACATTTAACAAGAAATAAGAAAGACCATAGAAGCATTGATGCATTGGAGTGATGGTGTTGCAGAAGAATATTAAAAGTACCATGGACTGCCAGAACTAACCAATTTGTTTTGGAAGAGGTACAACCAGAATGCTCCTTAGAAGCCAAGATGGTGAGACATTGTCTCTAATACTTCAGACATATTATCAGAAGGGACAATCCCAGGAGAAGGACATTATGCTTGGTAAATTAGAAGAGACTCCCAATGATAAAGATTTGCACACTGGCATCAGGGAATTGCATCAGTGCATTTTAGATGACATGGGGGCTTTTGTGAGTCAAATTAATTGATTCAAGTAGGATATGGGTTTTTCCTAGGTGGTGTTTATACAGGATATTGTACATAACCAAGACCTCACTGTAAGTTGGATAAAAAAGTTTTTGCATTTTGGAGAAAATTATATGTTCTCTGTAACTGTATGCAGTTGCAGCCATTTCCTTAGGACATGCAAAAATGTAATCGGTCTTCATTTTGACTGAGCTCACTGTATAACTTCACTTTTAAAAACAAGCGTCAAAGCCAGACAAACACATCAGTATGACCACAGTGTTTTCCTTTCATTTTCGTTCACTGCAGATTTTCTTGACAGACAAAGTTAGTCTTTATGAAGAGTGCTAAAATAAGCAAATCGTTCCCTTTCTGATCTCATAAAATTTGGAAGAATCTTTTATAATCTTTAAATATTTTTTTAGTTCAATCAATATAAATCTGAAAATGAATTTCACTCCAGCATTGAATAAAATTTGAATAACATCTTTATTTG